CCACAGCATAATGAGAAGGCGGGGCACAGCAGCCTTAACCCTTCACATGAAACCACCAAGGGACCCCTCCCCAGCTGAATAGGCACCCCCAAACAGAAAGTAAACAAGGTGGGCTGTCCAATGGGGGACAGGGCACTGTGGATAAAAAGTTATCAGGCCTCCACTCTGGCCGGAGAAACAACCATAAGCTGTCCACTGATGCCTGGGGCCCACCTGGCTTGGGGCCTTGTGGGAGAGGCCATGTGCTAATGTGATCCCAAAGCCAGCCCAGACCTGCTGTCCCCAGAAGAAGGGTCAGAGGGGGCTGTCACCTCACTAAGGCCCCTGTGGCTCCTGCGCCTCTCTTTGGAGACTCAGAAGGTGACAGCTATCTCCAGTTTGACCCCAATCAGGGCCTCCCTGCTCCAGTGATGGCTCTAATTTTGGAACATTGGTTTGGGGTTCCAGGGACTGACAGAAGCCCTGGGGCTCATATCCAGTGTGGCCTCGAAAGCTATTTGGAGAGCTCTCCTGGAGTGGCAGCTTCCTCTGTTGTGACTCTTAACTCAGAGGCTCCATAAGCCAGCATCCTCTGTTAGTGCAGGGGCTTGGCTGCCTGTAAGCCCTAAGCAGCCTAGGGCAGAAGTGTCTGCTGAGGCTTCCTTGACCCTGAGGGTCAGATGGGTTCTTCAGAGAACTAGGAACCTGCACTTTGCATGCCTGTGGCAACCCTTCCTCTGGCCTGGAAGATGGGGCACCTTGGACTTACTTGGCTCAGTCCCTGCTTCAGAGCCCTCTGCCCAGGCCAGGCTAAGCAGGAGGAGGGTGGTGTGTGTCCACTTCACAACCTGGATGACCTGGGACAGAGAAGGCATCCCAATAGCTCAGAGACCGTGGAGGGCTGGTGAAACCACACCTGGCAATTTTTTTTAATTCCACAGAAATAAAAACTGACCAAAGAAATGTCATTAGCCCCAGTGACAAAACCACGATGAAACCAGGCATGATGGTGCATTCCTGAGATCCCAGAACTTGGTTGGCTGAAGCAGGAGGTGTTCCAGGCCAGCCTGAGCTACAGAGACCTTGTCTTAAAATGGGCTGGGGTGTAGCTGCTTGCCTAACATGCACTTAGTCCTAGGTTCAGTCCCCAGCATCACAACAAGTATGTTGGTATACATGTATAATCACAGCACTCCGCGGAAGGGGAGCAGGCGGATTAGGAGTTCAAAACCATCCTTGGCTACATAGCAAGTTCAAAACCAGCCTGAGAAATGAAAGAGAGAGAGAGAGAGAGAGAGAGAGAGAGAGAGAGAGAGAGAAGAGAGAGGGGTGAGAGGATGGCTCTGGGGT